ATTCCTTTAGCATAGTTGCATTACTTGAAGTCATTGTGCTTAAGAATAAGGTCAACTGAAGAACAGCACTGGCATTTTCTATTCATTCTAGCTGTGTGTCTGTGTGTCTATGCTTATATATGTATAAGCATAGCTGGAGGAATAGGGTTAGAAATATCCTCAAGTTGCCACTGTTACTCCCCCGTAAAAGTGAGATAAGTTGCATGTAGATATGGTATTAATACCATGTACAGGAGAGTCTACAGGATTCTCAGTTGCTCTCTTTTAACATGTGAACTTACCTGACTGCCGTTAAAAAGCTTGTGAGGTTTTGTCCCTGTTCAGGATTTGGCAAAAGCTCTCATTATGTTTCATTTTCATCCTTTGCCTTTTGTCTCCTTAATTTTTACTCTGTTTTTTCTGTGAAAAAAGTTTTTTTTTTCCTTTTCTCTTTTCATATTTCTAATTGTCCAGCAATTCTGTGAACAAATTTTGTTTTTAAAATGTTGTTGTCTTTGCTTGTTGGAAAGTCTCTGGTAGTTTTTAGCAACCTAGGAATTGTTATAACAGAAAATTAGAAGCCCTCTGATATGCCTCCCCTTCATTCTTTTCCTCCTTAGTTATTACTTGGAAACTCACAGAGGAGATAATAGATCATGCACTGCCTTGCAGGCTTCAGAGAAAGTAACATGTCTTTTTACCTGAGTGTGTTTTTCAAGCAAGCTCTTTTTCTACTACTGTCCAGTGTATATGAATGTAAAGCCCTTTTACTTGGTCCACCAAGTGTCTCTTCTCTCACTTAAATAATGTTTTTATAATTATATTGCTTAATATTCTTTTTACTGTAGTTCACACACCTAAATCATGCCTTGCAGGAAACCAAGCAATGTTAATTAATCAGTCCCTTTCAGGTAACATCAACTAAAAACTGTTATAAACCGCAACAGTTAGCGTATTTCTGGAAGGAAGAACTAAGCTGTATTCTTTCTCCCCCTCTCCAGCAACAATTAAGAACTCAGTTAAACAACTGTCTTGGCTAGGGTGGAGTGTTACAGAGCTGCACATCTATTTTCTATGTTATATATGTATGAATAAATTGTGTATGTACGTAACTTCATCAGAGATTTACTATAACACATTCATTCCTTGGAGATTTTTACTTAAGTATTGAGATTCATGGCTTGAAGCCCTAATCATGACAAATCTACAGGAAGCTTTTGATAACTGCTGTTAATAGTGCATGAACATGGCTGACATAAAATAAATGAAGGTTTTGCTTAATTGACTGTCTTCATGGCTATTAAGCTAGCATAAAACCGTTTTGTATTTCATATACTTTACCAGGTCCACTTCTGTAAAGTTAAGAAGTAAATTCTCATTGTCACTCAACTAGGAGTTTATACCATTCTTTTGCAGCACCTGTCAGAAAGGCCAAGGAGGAACAGAAGAAGATTTTTCTTTTCCTGTATGTAGCAACATGGTCTTTCTTTATTGTCCTAACACAGAGTTAAGCATTCTTTAAAAGCCAGTCTCTGATCTGTAGGAAGCAAAGTGCTTGTCTAGAAGTTCAGTCTCCCAGTTTCCTCTTGAAATTCTCAGACATGCCATCAACTTCTCTGTTTTGATTGAAATGGAAGATAAGATTAAAGTCCCTGATAATTTTTTGGAGTTAATCATGCTTCACTCTAAGGCTTATATGAGAGTACTATGTACAGATCTAGGACTATGATGTGGAATAAGATACTAAAAGTAATATCCAGCAGTGTCCAGCAACCACACTGCTCTTCACCCTTTTCTTCCCCTCCCCGTTTAGCCGGTTGATCTTACTGCTGTGCTGCTTTACCATGCCCAGCCTTGACATTGTCTTTGAGCCACAGCCACATTCAAGCATTTGCAAATGTGGCTGAGCTTTCTAAGATGGCAGGAAATGCTGATTTAGAATACTGGTTAGAAGAGATGTAATTAAAGAAGGAAATTATTTCACTGGTTTGTTCCTGAATCCAAGTTGTAATAAACTAGCAGGCAAGCTAACTTGTGGAGATGTTTCATGAGGTAAACTTAGTTGTGAAGCATGTGGTCCAGCTGTCTTGGCTATAGCAACTGCTGCCCCCAGCACAAATATCCTCCTTCATTCTGCACCTGCATTGCCAAAGCTACGTCTTGATGACAGACATGTTGTATTTTTGTGTTTTAAATCACAAATACTGTGAAACTGTGTACCACTGTATGTTGCAAGATGGCAAGAAAAGCAAGAAGACAATGTCTCTTCAGGCAGCTGCTGTGTGGATTTCTTCCATCATAATTGGCTGTTCCTTTCATAGCTTGGTCTAGTTTATTCTGGCATGGCTGCTCATGGTTTTGCTCCTAGCATGTCCTTCTGCTTGTCCTAACTTGGCTTTCTTCTCCTAACTTACCTTCATGTTTCCACTGGCTTCAGTTTCTCCACCTATACAAGTCTAGCTGGACTATAGAATTATGTTCCTGAATTTAAATAAACACAGCTTGAATTTAAAAGAAAGAAAGAAAAACAAAAGCCATGCCAGAGAATAAAGAGCTCACATAAGAGTAGCTATAAGTTTCTTGGGACTTAACCAGTTCCTCTCTCAACTTTTAGCAACTGGGGGGACATAAGATAGAGATGTGTCTAGCTAAGAGGTTGCTTGTCTACCTGCCAGTGGAGTAATCTAGTGTGTGGCCTGAAATTTCAGTCTAGTGATTCTGAACAAGGCAGTCTGGACTGCCAACTGATCTGGTACTGAGTTTTTGACTCCACCCTTATTTTGCAGGAGAAATTTAGTAAGAGATGAAAAACAAAAACACATTTTACAGCATAACACAGGACTGAGTAGGAACTTCTGCTGTGATCGAAGGAGAGTTTCAATTCAATCCTTTACTATTTCATGAGTCATCATGAATACAAACATCAACCTTAATGAAATTGTCTCCTGCTTTTTAATAAGCCATGCTACTTACCTCAAATCAGTCATGTACTTAAAAAATGGAATAAATTATTGGTATTTAAAAAAAAGCAACCAATAAAACATTGTTTGAATGTGTTCTTGTAATATGATTATTTATACCTTAAGAAGTAAAGCTTTATGAAATCTAATTCCTAGTCCTTTTGCGTACATGCTGCTGCAAGCTTAAGCATTCAAGTGAAAGCTTATATGGAAAAAAAAGGTTGTGTGGATAAGGTCTTCAGAAGAGCTCAGCAGGCAAGTGCTCTATCTGATTTTCCACAATTGTTTCCTATATGTTTACTTTTAAAAACATTTGACACTTGTAGAGAAAATCCTGCGCTGCAGCAGAATTTCAGAAGTCATGTCTGATTATATGCACTGTATTACAGCAAGCATGTCAGAAGCATATTCCTGCTAAGTGGCTGTGAAAAGTGATATTATTGATATGTACTCGCCTTTTGCATGCCGTATCAATTTGTTCAGTTAACAGAATAATTTTTATTTACAAATCCAGTCCTTTACTGTGACTTTTCATTTCTTTCACAGATCTAATTAAATGCAGCTGAAAGATGTGCATAAAAACAGGTTCAGGGGGCAAATTCATAATGGTGGTAGTACGAGAGTAAAAACGTCTAATTGCATTATGTATCAGCAAGAAACTAACATGAAGCAAAGCCTTAAAACACCACTGATACACACCCTGCAGTGGAATTAACAAGAAGTAGCTGTATAGAAATATGTAGACCCTTTTTTTTAAACTTGTTTTATAGAAACTATATTCCTTTCTAAGCAAATTGTTAGGTGTTTATATTTAGCTCATTCTTCCTGTACAGTTCTAAGGAAGGAAGAGCAAGCATGCTTTATGAATGGAAGACATGTTTTAATAAAGCTGGGAGGGTGGAATGTGACTGTGAATATGAACCATAACCTAGGAGGAGTTGCACAGGATATATTTCTGAGAACCTGTTCCTATGAAAGGTGAGAGTACTAAATAGCTCTCTGCATGTTCTCAGTGTCACTCTAGAGCCCTAAAGACTGTGGAGAGAAAACTCTTTGAAAGTATCAGCAACTCCTACTATTTTTCTAAATTATTAGGAGTTCTTGTGGAAGTGTATGCATAATCAGCCCTCAAATCCTAGGTGAAACTTTTGGGAAATTGTTTGAACCACCCCCTTGCCTTTGCTTCTGCGTATAAGCTGTTGCGAACTGAAATGACTGTAATTATTGTATGAGTATGCTTTGAAAACCATTGTTTTCAACTGAATCATATTGCCAAATGTAGAAGCCAACAGGAAGGAAGAAGAGATTGTAGAAGTTTAGGGACTGTAACTGTAGAATTAGTAGTTTAAAAACAAATAATTAAAAAAAAAATATTGAGATGGCAAAATTGTCCAAACTGTCCTGTAGATGGGAGCTAAAAAATGCTGGTGTTCTTTATATACTAAAAGTTCAAAATCAGAGTAGTATTGTATGCTAAATGTTTGAACACATTTTTTGAACACGGTTTTTCCTCATATTTAAATGGAACTTCCTATGTTCCAACTTGTACCCATTGCCATTCTGACACTGGGATCTACTAAGAAGAGCCTGCCTCCATCTTCCTTACACTCACCCTTTAGATACTTGCATACATTGATAAGGTCTGCCCTCATGTCTTCTCATCTCCGGGCTAAAGCGTCCCAGCTCTTTCAGCCTTTCATCATATGAGAGGTGCTGCAATCCCCCCTATCACCTTAGTCACCCTCCTATGGACTCCTTCCAGTAGCTCCCTGTTTGTCTTGAACTGTGGAGCCCAGAACTGGAGGCAGTATTCCAGCTGTGGCCTCACCAGGGCAGAGTAGAGGGGGAGAATGACCTCCCTCAACCTACTAGCCACACTCTTCTTCATGAAACCTAGGATTCCATTGGACTTCTTTGCAGCAAGGGCACACTGCTGGCTTATGGATAATTTACTGTCTATTGATGATGAATGGGAGTTATTAACTTGGAATAACTGAAAGTATGTATATGTCATGAAAACTTTTAATAATTATTGTAATTTTGTGTGTCTGTGCATTGAAGGTATCCTGAATTAGCAACTGTGTGCAGAAATCCCAATAGTCTAATTTTGTATCCTGGAGCTGAAGCAACCAATTTGGAAGAAGTTGCAGTGGTGTCTTCTAGTCCATCTGTTATGATCATCATTGATGGAACGTGGAGTCAGGCTAAAGATATATTTTACAAAAATTCTCTCTTCCGGCTTCCCAAGCAGGTGAGTTATAATATGTAAAATAAACATTTTCAGTGTGTCTAATAGATGCTTGCTTTCTGACCAACCAGAAAGGAGTGTTTTCATGAGAACAAAAATCATGGAAATATTTTTTTCCTTCTCATCTGTAACCAGCTGACAAGGAAAACCTGAACACTTAATGTTACAATTGTCAGAAAGGTAACTGTAAACATTGGGGGTTTTCACTTTGTTACTTGAATTTCTGTTTTGTTTTGAGTTAACGCATCTGATGTTGTAGTGAGTTGTGCAAAATTGAAAACTGATTTGTGTAGAACATTTTTCCTAGTAGTCTAAGATCTTAGATCGTACACAATGAAATAAGCATTTTTCCCCTTTTGCAGAAGTGTTTTGCATTGAAGTAATAGGAAAGCTGAAAGTAGAATTTTGTAACCTCTTATGATAATGACACATTCTTTCCTGCATAGTTGGTCTCCACCACATTAAAAACTTTCTGACTTTTGGCAAATGTTTCTTAGAATTTGGGGATTTGGGGGCTTAGTTGGTGTTTTGGGGTTGTTGGTTTTCTTGAGGGTTTTTTTGTTGTTTACATCCTACTGACTTGATACTCATCCAAATTCTGCCTCACCTAGTTCTTTTTGCAGCACATGTCTGAGAGGACATAAATGAAATAATCTGGTCTGTACATTATCATTGTCGAAGAACTCAATATTAAAAGTAGATTCATGGAAATACTTTTATTTTCAAAATCCAAATGCTTTCAACTTTCTGTGTTGTTTTTTTGTGTATGTTTGGTTTTTTTTTTTAATTTAATTTTTTTTTAAACTCAGAAATGCATAATATTCTGTTAGGCCTTTTGGGCTATCTGAGTGATTTATCTTACAGCAAGAATGAAAGAATCCGTGGGTGACATTCTGAAAACTACTTGGTGTGTAATACTCAAGCCTTTCCATACATTTGAAAATTTACTGTGTTCCTTCCATATTTTTTCTTACATTTTATATTTGACTTCTTTATTTCTCAATGTGGGACCACTTCATCAGGCTAAGGTTTTTTGTCTTTCATGCCAGACCCCTTCTAAAAGTCTGCTGGACTAGAATCATAGAATCAATGAACAGCCCGGGTTGGAAGGGGCCTCAACAGATAATTTGGTCTAGCCTTTTGCAGGAGAGGAAGCCTGGATGAGATTATCTAGTACCTTACCCAATCACATCTTGAAAGCCTGCAAAGACTGGAACTCCATCATGTTCCTGGGGAGGTTGTTCTAGTGATTTATTGCTTTCACTTTCAAATATTTTCTTATATGTAGATGAAACCTTTCTCAAATGCAACTTGTACCTCTTGCTCCTTGTCCTTTCCGTGTATCTCAGTGTAAAGAGAGAGCCTCTGTTTTCTTTGTAGCTGTCCTTTAAGTACTGGAATACTGTGATGAAGTCCCCCTGAGCCTTCTTTTCTCCAGGGAGAAATGACAGGAAGTCTTGCAGTGCTACGTAGTAGTCAGATATTGAAGATGGTGCACCCTTCAAGTCTGAAGATAGTCTGGTGTTTAATTCCATTTTCAAATGTTGACACCTCGAATATTAAAATTATGTGCATTACACTTGAGGGCGTTGTTTTCCTGATTGTACATGTGTCCTTAAGCTTGTTTTGAAGCAACTAGTTTTAAATAGTCTGTCTTATATGAGATTTGGTAACAATCTTAAAACAGTAGTGTGTGGTCTCAGCATGTGCTGTGTCCTGGTAAACAGTGGCTTAAGTCAATGCTCTTAAGTACTAACTGAATTCAGCACAGCTATATAAATGTTTATATGATCTAAACATTTCCTGAAAGGCAAAGGAATGTGAACAAAATACATCTGTATTTTGGCATTTTACTTGCCTGAATGTCTTTAGGCCTTTTAAATGTAGTGTCAAATGTAATTAGTATCCCATAGCCTATTAAAATTTTTTGCTTTATTAAAATAATATACATAAAAATATGGAATATTTAACGTACAAATGGTTCTTTTAAAATTTTGAAATCCCGCCTAATGCGGGAACTGAAAAAGAATTTGAAGTGATAGGAGAAGTAAAAATAATGTAATGACAGTAAGGTAAGATACTAAGTGAAGAAACTCATGGAAAAATGAGCAATAGTATTGACTCTACTACACAAAAAGAGTTTAATTTTTTGAGACAGTAGCACTAAATGGTGCTAGAGATGAGTTTCAATATGCAAAACTGAAATAATAAACATTTGCTGGGTATTCTCATTGGTCCCACTGTGGTTAATTGTTGTACTTGTCTCTACAAATCTGTCTGGATACATGTTTTTCTAAAACAGTGATAGAACATACGTATTTCTTTATTAGAGACTAGGAATTGCTTTTTAAGGCTGCAATTTTTTAAATGATAAAATGGCAGGGAGAGATAGACTGTTAATGTTTTAGATTCTTATAATATGTGTTCTGCAAAATTCCCATTAGAATTAATATTTTTAAACTTTCTTCTTTGGTTCTGTGATTTTCAATGAAATGTGTCTTTCCAAAACATTCATAATTTCATGAGAACCATTGATACTTAAGTATTTTTAAAATCCAGTTTAAAATAATGTATTGCTTCACTGTATGTTTACTTTACTACTCTAGATTTCACTAAGACATTAAAACGTATTTTTGGCCTACAGGAAATTAAAAAACATTTGCTATGTACAAACTAATGTGCTCATATTGTAGGAGGTTATTACACCAGAAACACTAGGCATAAATCACATCTACATGGATGTAGACACTTAATTTTCCCATAACAGTTTTGGTTTTTTTTATACATAATTTTATAGACGTAGGAGCAATGATAAGTGTGGCAAGGTTAGCTTGGAGCCCTCTGTACATGACCATGGATGAAAACATGTAACTACATGATAGCCCTGAAAATTCAAGAATCCATCTTCTAAACGCTAAATGTTAACAGAATACTGTGTACCTTCACTCCCTTGCAGAGTGCACCTATGTAGAATGTTTAAGACTTTGCAAAAGTGAACTATGGGATGTGATTTATTATTGGGGTGAGTCAATGACTTTCTGAGAAAATTCTTAGTTACAAAGCAGTGACGCAAATTAGCATACCCTCAGCTCTTGGAGAAAAATATGAACAGGTAGCAGGAATATAAAAAAAATGCCTAACTGAAATACTTCTTTATGTATACTTGGATTCTGCAATGCATAGTTCACAGCTTTTAAATGTTGCAGTTACAGCCCATCTGAATTAACACTCTGTACATTTTATCTGCTCTTTTTAAAAGGAAAATAATATTCTGCTGTCCCTACCCTTCTTTTTATTGGATTTGCATTGCAGCTCCTGTTTTAAAGGGTTTAATTTCTTAATGAAAAGTATAAGTACAGTGACTCTTGAAGTATTAAGTTAGTAAGTGTATTGAAATATTTTCAAACTATGATGGATAGTTTTGTTTTTACTAAATAAACCACAGTTAAAATTAGTATTTGGTTTGATTTTAATTTTATATGCAGTTGATACTTGCTGTTGTTCAAATCATAGAATTGTAGAATGGTTTTGGTTGCAAAGGATCTTGAAGATCATCTAGTTCCAACCCACTGTGCATGGAGAGGGACACCTCCCACTAGACCAGGTTGCTCAGAGCCTCATCCAACCTGCCCTTGAAGTAGAGTGCTAAGTTGGAAATTCTGCTGTGACTGCAAGCACTTGTCTAGGAGACACGTAGTACTCAGTTAAGTCACCAGTCAAGCATGGAGCAGTGCAAAGACTAAGCACTGTATACACAACTGTGTATTAAACTAAGTTTGGATATTTTGTGCTGAAGTGAACTAGACGTACTTGTGCAATCCACCATAGCTTCTAAATAGTTAAAATTAGCAGTCAGGTGGTAAAAGATTATAATAAAATTGTGTGTAAGCAAACACCAGCACTCTCATGGTTTAAAATTTGTTCCCCCTGTGACTTTTCTCTTTCATCTTTCTCTTTGAGCTAGACGTCATGGCCGGCATTGTAGGGTTTTTATTACTTTTTCCTATTTCTACATTATTTCCTGTTTTCCTACATTACAGTTTGTAAGATTAAAATGCATAGAATGTTGCATTTGGAATTTAATAAGTCAGAGTTCTGTCCCATAAATAGAGTGTGGTAGATATGATTATATCTAAAAAAAAGGGGTGCCAAAGGAAAAAAAGAGGACGATGCCTGCCTGGATCTCCAAATGAAAAGTAAACTGTTATAACTAAAATTCAAATTGCCATTTGAGCTTTCAATCAATGTTCTTGTCACTGTTTGACTCAGGTTTGACAACAATGCTCTCAATCCCCTCTCCTTTCCACCCAGTTAGGGAAGGAGAGAGAGAAAAAGAGAGAGACTTGGCTGAATTGAAAACTAAACTACACAGCTTTAATTAAACACTAATGATATAAGAAAATATATACAATTATATACAAATGTGTTCAGGAACGTGCAAAAGCCTCTTGCCTCCCCCTGCCTCCAGCAACTCCCACAGCATCTCCTGAGCTGTGAACAGTCCTGAAAAGTCCTGGAGCTGCTGGAGAAAGCACAGAGTTATGAGAGTCAGGAGGGCTCAAGCCTGGGGGTTGACAGTGATGGATGGACAGAGTTCTCTCCGGACACCAGCCATGAACGGAAGAGAAGGGGAGAAGAAGCAGGAAAGAAGTTGTCTGTGATCTCTGACCTTCCTCTGAGCTAAAGTAGATATATGGAATGGAATATCTCTGGCGAGTTTTGTTGTCTGTCTAATTCAGTCTCCTACAGGGGGTCATAGATCTCCCTGTAGTGTCTAAGCCAGTGGAGTAAAGATGAGACCTTGGAGATGCAGCAGTTACAAAAACATTCTGGCTGTTATCAGCCCAAGCTGGGACACTTTCCTACTAGTTAAAATAAAGCTTACTGAAGGAAAAAAAAAAATAAAAATCCGTAAAAGGAAAAGTGGCTTCATCCTGGCTCCAACCAGGACAATTCTGTGGGTAAAAAAGAGGTATTTTAGTAATGAGGAGCTTAGCGGTTCT